AATTTTGCTCCCAATGTTCAGCTGTAAAGCGGAACAGAGAATGTTCGAGTTTATAACCGTATGTGTATGGGGAATGTGTTGTTTAATGAGCACACCGGCGCCTTGCTTGGCCGATTTGTTATGTGGCAAGTTGTAGAAGTAGCCAGTGTATGCCTTGGGCAGATAAAGTTCTTGAAAGTGTGAGGTAAGTTAGTTTCTTGCAAACATATCATCTGGTGAGTGGTCTCTGATAAGAAGAGTTAGTTCGTTAAAGTTGTTAAAAATACCATTTATATTCCATTGTAGAATATTAATGGACATTGAAAGTAACGAGAGATGTGTTTTATGTTAGCAAGGGGATGTCAATGGTAAAAGGTCCGACTATGAGTCGAGACATTCCATTGACGTATCCGAGTCTTCAGTTGTGTTACGTAGAGGGGAATTCGAGTTGTAAAGAGAAAGAGTTGTGTCGTCTTGAGTAGATTGTAGAAGTTCTTGTGCTTCTAATAAAATAGCACGAGTTTTTTCGCTTGTTGTTTTTGCTTCTTCGTATGTTGGTACTTTTTTGTATGAGGGAGAAGGGGCCGTGGTTACCGATTGGTCTGCCTGGCTGATTGAACAGCTAGCAGTATTGCCGAGCGAAACGCTGGGCGAATTGTTGTGAACTTTGCCATGCACTTGGGGAGCTACCTGCTTATCGCAGCTCACTGTTGTTTTTGAGTTTGTTGTTTTTGTCGTATGATGGGTTACTGCGATAGCAGCATAGGAGGATGAAGAGTTGGGTTGTTTTTGTTTTTGTATTATGTGGCCTTTTCGAATACTACATTTTTTTGTAGTTTTTATTCGGAGGAGCTCCCTCTGGTTCTGGTATTGGGGGCATTGGGATGAAGAGGCGGGATGACCGCCGTTACAGTTTGCGCAGAAAGTGCGAGGTTCAGGGAGGTGAGGAACAAGATTACATGTCACGCAGGTGGCGGGGTTTTTGCAATGTTTTGCTGTGTGCCCTAGTTGGCATGTTTTGCACCTCATTGGGCTAGGGATATATTCTCTAACCTTGACGGAATGCCATGAAACATCCAGCTTGCTCAATATGACTTCTGTGGGTTTTGTGATTACATCGACTGTTCTGCAGAACTTGAATACTGAGTGAACATTTTGGGACTTGAGCTCTTAAACAATCTCCTCTTCACGTATGTTGATAAAGTAAGGCGCAAAAATAGTGCCTTTCACAAAGTTTAGGGATTCATGGAGTTTACATTCTATATCGCATATGCCCGGAAAATGCGTAATCTTTAGGAATTTCTCCGCCACTTTTTTGCACTTGACTAACAACAGGAGCTTGCCTTCGCGAAGGTCCGAAATGGAGATTATATCATTACTAATAACCTGCAGAGCACGGTGCACTGCGAAGCATGAAAAATCAGTAAGAGGCTTATCTGGGTTTTTGGAGGCGATGATTACGAATTTGGGGTTTTGCTTGGTGGTTTCGAGGAGTTCAGGGAATTCTTCAGAAAACTTTACGTATGAGCGTTTTTTCTTGGCTTTGGGACTCATGCTAAAGCTTGCAAAGCGACTGTCCCCAAGATTGGGAGGCCCAGGGGCCATGGTAACAACTACGTGTGACTTAACTGTGAAGTATTACACAAGTACATGGGCGCGAATGAAAAAAAAAAATAAAGAACGGGTAGGAAAAGGAATTGGAAATAAAGACCACTGATCGTAGAGTAGGCGTTGACGTCCGCACTCGAAGAGAGATAGTCGGTGACTGATTATTTATTTTAATCAATAGCGTTTCAAGTCACTTATTATTATTTATGGTAGAAGCTGTATTAGGAATTTAGGAACTAAACGGACTCGTAATAGGACTTTTGAAATAATAATGTGATATTTTTTCTTATGGAATTTACGACGGAAATGTTTGTGCATTAGCCGTATGACAATCCAGAATTTCCAAATATCGGAGAGTCGTTTGCAATATATGTAAATGTAAAAAAACGACAGCGGAACACTGTTTACGAAAAGAAATGTAGGAAACTGCGGCATAGGCATTTATTTATTGTATATAAATTACTTTTACGATTGGGGAAATGTAAATTTTGACATCGATTGAAGATTTGTGCAGTGGATTGTATAAATATGGTTTTGTATATTATTTATACTTATAAATAAATGCAAGCGGAACTTAGTAAACGAAAAGGAATTCGAAACTGAAAGTTTTACCGTAGCTTAGGCATTTATTAAAACCCACACTTAAAATTGTAATCGGAAGTTATTATGATGCCGTAGTGTCGGATCCATTGCACTTGGATTTAGACAATAATCATACAGAGAAGTTAGACGAATTGAACTTCGCAAAACCTAACTGTATGAACGGCAGTATTAATGTAATTGGAAGTTATCTGTTGCGGTGCTTAAGCGACCGTAACTGCTGGTGCAGACGATTAAATCCGGCTCGAAGGACCACTGTTTTGTAGGGGGCGGATTTCTCCGTGAAAAATTGTTGTAAATACTGTTATCATTAGATGAGATTAAATTGGATTGATTTGTTTTCAATGGGGAATAATATTTTTGCAAAAGTAACTAATGCAATTCTCAAGTTTATTTATTTCAACTGCGTAGCCTTTGTTTTTAAAACTTTATATAGCTATATGCTTTTTAAAGCTTTAAATTATACGAAAATATATGAATTTAGCCTCAATGACTTTTCAGCCATTCAGCCGATAGTTTCAGCGACTTCGAAGTCGCTGAATGACTGAAAAAAAGTATAACCAATTTGTATGGGAGCAGCTGTTTTCAGTCGTATATAGAGTCCTCTTACTTAAATACATGATACAATTAAATAATAGAAGGTAGTCCCATCGAGGCCAAATCTTTCAGGTTTGTGACGTATTTTGACAGCTCGTTCTTATTCATTATTACAGGCCTCACTTTCACTTCGATAGGTGCTAATTTTTCAGACGAAACCACCTTATATAATTCTATCATTCTTACAAATACGACATCGACATAGAATTCGACGAACAGCACTGTAGTCCTTATCTAAGGTTGTCAAAAGAAAATGAAAGCAGTTCCTGTGTTGCGATAATGTCTCCGTTTAAGTTTCAGGACGCAGAGTATAGAATACAGATTTCTTCTCTCGATAATGCTGTAAATGGTGTAGTAATTTTTGGCTGTTGACATATTTTACCCCTCCCCCCTCCCATAACCAACTGATTGATTTGTATCCTTCCTTTTTCGCTATGTTTCATTAAAGCATCAGACATCAGAACTGTTCCGTTTGGAAAAAGGGAGTTTAATCGGCAGTGTGATACTGTCTTCCCACTCAGCGCATTTGTGAGGAGCGGTTGGGATTTTTCACAAATGTGAAACCCGAGTTCCCACAGAGCTGCGTCAAAGTGCATCCGCATTCAATAACAGCTGATCGATCAGCTGTGGCTCATGAAAACGTAAACAAAGATGGCTGAAGCGGCCGATGTGGAAGTAAAATGAATAGTTTATCAGCTATTTCGGCTGTTTAACAACAGCAAAACCACAGATTTTATCCGCACTAAATTTAAATATAATAGATGACAAGGAATTTGAGTTTCTCTAATGATTTTTCTTTAACAAAGAGCAAATTCCCCGAAGGGTGTGTATAGGTGGTATAGGCTTCCCAGGTCTATAAAATAAAGTAGTGATAGGCGGTTTATATTAAATAGTAGCAATTGTGGACATTTTGGGGCATGAATATACAGAAAAACACCAACAATTATGTTGGGCATGTTTGTAGCGTTGGCGCCACATTTTAAATTTAATTTTTCAATTGTTCCTCGCCAACTTTGTTTACATTTTTCGTAGTGTTGGTCAAAATTGCACTGTTAAGAAGAAGATATTAGAGTTGCACCGAAAAACTATCGCCTAAAAAACCTTGGTTAGATTTAGATGGGTTTTAACCGCGATCCATTTGAGAAAATTCGGGACAGCAAAACCTTATGGACCGTTTGTTCAACGGACGGTGAATGCGTTTTGACGGTGTGTGGTAGGACCCTATTATATTATTTCATAGCTTCGGTTTTATTTTATGAAAATCGGACGACTATATTATACTACTACCATAGAAACGATCAGTGGATGTACAGAAAAATGTAAAGCTGCGAGTGTAAAACTGTTACTGTCAAATTGTAAATATAATAAGTATATGTAAAATGTAATGAAACTTTGTTTTTTGTGCGTATTCAGCATTTAAATTTATAAGGTTGTTACATAAGATATTTAAATCTACAATAAGCTTTTTTTACATGATTAATACTGTCTTCCCACACAGCGCATCTGTGAGGAACGGTTGGGAATTTTCGCAGATGCGAAACTCGTGTTCCCACAGAGCTGCGTCAATATGCATCTGCATCCGAACAGCTGATCGATCAACTGTGGCTCATGAAAACGTAAACAAAGGCTGTCGAATTGGCTTTTGCAAAATTGAAATGAAGCATTTACCAACTATTTTGGCTGTTGTACAACAGCAAAAGCACAGATTGCGTCAGACTTTATCCGTTTCTCTAATGATTTTTCTCTAACAAAGAGCGAATTCTCCGATGAGTGTGTATAGGTGGTATAGGCTTTCCAAATCTATAAAATAAAGTAGAGGTAGGCGTTTTATATTAAATATTAGCAATTGAAGACACTTTGGGGCAAGAATATAAAAAATAAACGCCAACAACTATTTTGGGCATGTTTGTATTTCATTCCATATTTCATTTGTTCCTCGCCAAGTTTGTTTACATTTTCGTAGTGAATGGCCAAATTTTCACTGTTAAGAAAAAGAAATCAGAGTTGTATTGAAAAACTATCGCCAATAAACCGTGGTTAGATTTAAATGCGGCCCAAATAAGAAATTTCGGAACGGCAAAACCTTAGTTCAACGGACGGTGGATGCGTTTTGACGGTGTGTGGGAAGACCCTATGAAATTTACTTTTAATATATGTACATATGTGTGAATAGGTTATTAAAGAAGAAAACCATAACAAGAATGAAAATTTGTATGTACTCGATAGTACTATCGATGGTTTTTCAGTTCTGGTTATGTTATAGTTGTCATTTTGGTTACATCACAGTCAAAATCTGGAAAGGTAACTAAAATGTAACTTATTTTTTCATTTGAAATTCTTATTGATCATGAAAATATTTATATTTGAATTTCCTAATGGATATTAATGGTGTTTTTTTTTGTAATATTTGCCTATCGTCATTCAAAGGTACTTACTATATTAAGTTTATTTTTCCTACAGTTGTCAATATGCCCTTTAGAAACTGGTTTTCGGTGCCCATCGTTAAAGCCGATGACGAAGAGGAGTTAGTTGATCCTCAAACTGCACTTAGGGTATGCACAATTTAAAATATATTCCTTGTTAATTACGTACATATTTGTTTTAAATTTAACAGGAAAAATGCCATGCTAAGTCACATATTGAGTCATTGTACAACAAATACCAGGAGTGCAATGATCGTGTAAATGGACGTTCCAAAACAACTGAGACGTGCGTCGAAGAATTATTTGACTATGTTGCTGAATTAGATCATTGTGTTGCGCACAGTCTTTTCTCAAAACTAAAATAGTTTAAAATGAAAGCGAGAAATATAACCAAATATTAGCACCGTTCAAATATTAGTCAAACTGAATATTTTAATTTTGAATTTCAAACTGTTACAGAAGGCTAGGTTTTGTGGGGTAACCGGGCCTTGACCAGGATCTGTTATGACCAGACAACGGAGTCGAACTGGTTAAAAAATCTTAGAATAGGTGGTCTCATACCGGGGGCCGATACTGCAACACAGTGAAGCAGTGAGGGGTAAGAAATTTCATTTTTTTTAATTATTTTTTTTTTTCCTTTTAATGCTTGTAATCTTAAGAATATTGTGCCCACGTTTTACATCGACCATAGCATAATTTACGAAGATATGCAGAATTGAACGGAGGTCATTTGGTGTGTGTATGGTGTATGAGTATCAAAAGGTTTAAATCGCTCTCCTGGAGAATGCCATTTTGAAAATCGGTGTAGAAGATAACTATAATCTACAGGACCAATCAATTTAAAATTTGGAACTTTTTTAACTAATTCTCCAGGTCCCTCGAGCTTTTTTAATTTGTAATTTTATTATATTTTTTACCCAACAAATTAATTTTAATTTTTTAGTCAAAAATCAGGGTTTTGATTTCCAATTTTGATAACAATTTTAGGAAAAATTGTATAAATAAGAATGCTACTTGAGTACCTGGAGACACTTATCCTCCAACTAATGCATTACAGTTTTTTGATATCTGTAACGAACATTTAAAATTATATATGCAGGCTAGTTGTTGGCACTGAGAGAAACGCACACGCAAAAATGTTCTCCTGCTGCGGCTCGTCGGCAAGGGGGGAGGTCGACTTGCTGCTTCTCTCAGTAGGGCCTATTTTTATTATCTTTAAAAAAAAGGATTGCGTGTCTAATTTTTGCCGATATAAGAGTGGTAGGAAAACTCGGACATTCTAACCAAGAATATAAACGTGTCGAATTCAGAAACTGCCCTTATTCCATGCCCTAGAATCTATGTATGTATATTGAATCTTCCACAACAAATTTTTTTTGTTCGGGGTTTTTTTTCCCCTAAGGCACAGTGGCCGATTTGGCTGTTCTAGCGGCAGATTAAGAATATTTTCAACTGTTAAATTTAAAAAAAGTTTTATTTTCCATCAATAGTAATATTATCATATATATAAAAAAATACTATAACCGATCATTTCGATTAACTTGATCAGCTGTTAACACTCAAAGTCAACATATACACATATGGACAAAATAATAGGTGTGAGTTTTTTTTCTTTGTTAACGTTTAATTTCTAATTTATTGCTTTATAAATCTTAACAAATCAAGTTTTTTTCATAACTCATAATATTTGTCTACATTTAAAAACTAAAAACAGTTTCACAAACTCTCTAATAATTAAAAAAAACTATTTTATAGTTAAATTCACAAATTTTGCCTGGACAAAATAATAGGTGTAGGATGATTAATTTTCAAATTATATCGATTTTTCAATCAATTTGGTCCTGTTTCAGTTTTAAATCACTAATTGGCAGTCAATAATTGGTATATCCGCCATTATTTTGTAGAATTTTCTCCATTCGTCTTGGCATGGACAATATTAACTTGCGACAAGTTTCAACTAGGATGTTGTACCAAGTTTTTTGGACAATATCCTTAAGTTGACCGATATTTTTGCAAAAAGTCCTTCCAACTTCTCTTTTAAGTTCACCCCAGAGATTCTCAATGGGATTGAGATCCGGGGATTGACTTGGCCACTCAAGAACATCCACCTTTTGCTCCCGGAACCAATCCTTTACAACTCGCGATGAGTGTTTCGGGTCATTATCCTTTTGGAACTTCCATAAAAGTGGCATATTATCCTCGGCATATGGTAGCATTACTGTCTCCAATAAGTTTTTATAAACGAATCTATCCATGATTCCGTCGATTCGATGAATCGGACCAACACCATCCCAAGAAAAGCAGCCCCATACCATTAAGCTACCACCTCCATGTTTCACGGTTTTACATGTGTACCTGGCGTCAAATTTTTTGCCTTTAGGACGACGAACATTCCTTTTAGGGTCATTACCAAACAAATTATTTTGGTTTCGTCACTCCAAAGGATATTACGCCATTTTTTCTCACCCTGCGGGCCGCATCAGGTCTTATGATCTAATCCAAACTTTTGCCTCATCTGTAAATTAGCCGTCCGGAGCAAAGGAACCCTTCGGGCAATCCTACCTGGTAGGTTTGATGTAATGCTACCATATGCCGAGGATAATATGCCACTTTTATGGAAGTTCCAAAAGGATAATGACCCGAAACACTCATCGCGAGTTGTAAAGGATTAGTTCCGGGAGCAAAAGGTGGATGTTCTTGAGTGGCCAAGTCAATCCCCGGATCTCAATCCCATTGAGAATCTCTGGGGTGAACTTAAAAGAGAAGTTGGAAGGACTTTTTGCCAAAATATCGGTCAACTTAAGGATATTGTCCAAAAAACTTGGTACAACATCCTAGTTGAAACTTGTCGCAAGTTAATATTGTCCATGCCAAGACGAATGGAGAAAATTCTACAAAATATTGGCGGATCTACCAATTATTAACTGCCAATTAGTGATTTAAAACTGAAACAGGACCAAATTGATTGAAAAATCGATATAATTTGAAAATTAATCATCCTACACCTATTATTTTGTCCAGGCAAAATTTGTGAATTTAACTATAAAATGGTTTTTTTTTTTTATTAGGGAGTTTGTATAGCTGTTTTTAGTTTGTAAATGTAGACAAATATTACGAGTTATGAAAAAAACTTGATTTGTTAAGATTTATAAAGAAATAAATTAGAAATTAAACGTTAACAAAGAAAAAAATCTCACACCTATTATTTTGTCCATAAGTGTAGTAGCACCAAAGATAATACAATTAACAAGATGCCTCACGCCCATATGTACATTCGTTTTGCAATATGGGGCTTCATTTTTGATGGCAACGACAATCGCGTTCTAAAAATAGAATGCGTTTGCTTGTATGAGTAAACACAAGAACACGCAAGCGCGTATGTGTGCGAGAATATGTGTCCGCCAGCGCGCAAGCACCAAAAAATGTAAAAATGTGTTTTGTGCTAGCGACCGCTTGTTAGGAGGCGATGCACAGTAGCGCATCTCGAACAATTTGCGTTGCAAAAATCGAAAAAGTCATGTTCGCAAAAACGATTTTAACCATACTTATTCGACAGAACATTTCTCAAGGATTGAGAATCTGTAATAAAATCAATTAACATTTTTTTTTTATTTCTAAGTGTAACCGCCACAAAACCGTGAGCGCTACAGTTAGCATATTTTCTTTTATTATTATGCAGTACATATGTATATATAGTTTACAACAATTATCTGTCCGTTCAAATTATTAGGTTATCTTATTTGGTTCAAAATATATGATTTTTGCAACGCTAAATGAGAAAAGGCGCCACTGCGATAGTAGCGGCAGCAAAAACAGATGATCTCGAATATGGATTGTATTTGTATACAAGTTCAATCCAGAAAATCAGTTAACTAAATTTTATTTTCATCTGTATGTATGTATATTTTATAATTTTATTATTAAATAAATATACAAAATAATACAAATAATTGATTTAAATACATACATAATTTCATATGTATTTACAATTATCTAATTCAATTGACTAATAAATTAAAAATATATTATTATGATTCATACATTATAAAAAATTCATTTATAAATCAATAAGTATATAAAACTAGCACTCTATCTCAGGATTCTTGAAATTTGTCCTGAGGTCGATGGCTATGTCGAGGAAGGCTGCTGTTAGGAGCCTGCCACGCTGGTTGGGATCCGCTTAGATGCTGCACACCAGTTGATCTTCGTGTGCCCACGCGTTGTCTCAATCGGGCATTTTCCCTTACTACATTTCGTCTCTCCTCGCTTAAGTTCTGTGAATACACTTGTTGCTGGATTGCATGCCTTGTGCGGAGACCGATGTTCACACGTCGTGCTATAGGCATTTTCGACCATAGGCAGAGCGGTTCATTTAACCTCTAATCCACATAATTTACACAGTTCAACTTACCACCCTAAATACAAATGCTGGTTTCCAATTGCACTGATAGGAAACGAATAACTTATTTTACTCAAAATTGAACACAATTTCGATTTGTCATAAAATAAACTGAGTAGAGAATTATGGCATGCTGTGTCAGTGTTGGCGCTTTATGTAAAAATGATTTTCCCGCTTTCTGTTGCAATTTTTCCTGAATTTTCTTTACTGCAAAAAATCACAAATTCCGAGACCTTTCCAACGAATGCAAAACCGTGGAAATCGGTTCGTGCGTTCTGGAGTTATTTGATCCCCGCAGAAAACTCGACTTATTTTTATATAATAGATTAAAGAGATGTTTAAAAAAAAAAAATCGTATTTGTAGTTTACGTTTAAAACCATCAATGTTTGTGGCCCCCTTTTTAAAAGCATGTTTCAGCTTCTGTAGACTAAATCTTTGTGAAGCTCGTCCCGGCCCGCAAAAACTGTATAGCTGTGCTAAACTTTGGTTCCTCTAGTGTGTAAATCAGGGGTGCCCAAACGTTGCTTATGGCAGAGCAACGCACCAATACACATAAATGAAAACACAAATACATTTACGCAAACGTTTTTTTTTTACTTCAAATTTCTGCACTGAAAAAAATGAAAGTAAATTCAAATAAAGATATCGAAAGTAATAAAAATACATGAAAATACATTTTAACAATACATTGGGGCTCACCATAGCAATTTTTACAAAATAAAAAATTAGATTCTGCAATATCAAACATCTTGCCCGCAACGCAAAATACAACTGATTTTTCGCGATGTACTTTTTTCGGCGATCCAACAACAATTTACATTCGGATAAGCGAAATAACGGTGAAGCCTATGAAAGTGTTGTTGCCGAGATCAACGAAGGCGTGGAGAATGAAGAGAATACGCAAAATTGTTTGTGTAATCTCCTTTGCTTATGGAGTGAGCCGTGCATGCATACGGCGATTGCTCTGCCTATGCTAAAGAGCAATTACAAAAAAAATGCGAGCACAAAGAGCTATGG